CCGCATATCCCAAGTGCCGGTAGATTATTTCAGTGTGGGTCTCTCTGAATAATACATTCATCTGCAGTCCTTCCCCCACCCCGTCCTCAGCAAGGCCTTCATTAGTTGAATACAGTGGCTCAGCTCCAGCACACACAGCTGCCGTCACTGCTGCAATTCTTTTGCCTTGAGAAAAAGCATATACAATTTAATATGCTCCTGGCACAACAGCTTTTCTGTAGCCGAGGAGGCGGGTTTGTTTATGGCTATTTTGATAGGGCAGCTTTCATCCAGACACAGGTTCTGCGGCATCTCCTCACTCGTACAAGAGCGCCTTTGTTGGGCTCGTTCTCATGCTCCTTGGGAACCGCTGGCGACTTTGGTACCTTCTCCTGCCCCCTTAAAATGCAAGTTTTAAAAAGCCCTCCTCAGTTAATTCTGTATTTCTCTTACTTCATTAAAAGCTATTCCTGGGCTAGGAGCCAGCAACACAGGCAATAGGAGAGGGTGTGATGCTTTACTGGATACGTGTCAAGGACATGAACCATCCTGCCATCTCATGGTAATTTGTCCCACATTGGCCCATCGTAACATGTGCTGGACGCATCTGAGCGTTCATGTCAGGCGGAGCAGAGCGTGTGATGCTGCTGGTGGCTGTTAGCGGTAACTCGCAGGCTTGCCAGCCACAGGCGGCTCCCCAGCCACAGGAGCAGCTCTATTGCTTTCCCAGATAGCTTCGTCAGCCTCGCCAAGATCAATACAAACTGCGCACGAGGACATGATTCCTTCCTCCTGATTACGGGACTTTTCAATATCTGGAGGAGCTGGCACGCAGCAGAGGTGGATTATTTTTTGGCAGCAACGCTTGCAGGCATTGTGACGCGAGCTGAGCGGCGAGCCGTGACGCATGGCGAGGCTCTGCGCTGCACCGCTGCTGCCCGTTTCGGGTTGCAGGTTCCAGGGCAGGGTGGGGTCCGGAGCAGATAAACCTCGAAGCTGGAAAGTCTCGATCAAATGATCCATAGTCTGCTATTGTGGCCAAATACCTCTCTCTGGCAAATTGCTTGAGCCGCCCCTGGATGAGAAGGAGAAAGAATCTCTTGTGTTTTTCAACGGTTAAGTCTGTTCTCTCTCTCTGTCGTAGTGGAAATAAACTGTGGGAGGGCTTAGCCAGCGCTAATTCATAGCCATGTTCGATCTGAAGTCTCTGCTACTTTGTGCTTGGGCCACAGATACAACTGAGAAAATGAAAACTGCCAGAAATACGACTAATCATCAGATTATCTTAAACACATGGCAACAAAACAGAGTCACTCTGTGGCGCGTACAAATTCCACACATATGAAGGAATGTAAAGCAGCTATTGTACCCACACTTTGCAGATCCATTTCACCATTTTCACAGTTTATCTGGAAAATACATACTGCATGGTACTGTACGTCGTATTTCACTGCTATGCACCATGATGTCTTCTAATTGAACAATCGCCATACTTGTAGTCTAAGAGCAATACAAAAGTGCTTTCAAATAATAACAATACATTTTCTGTATAAAGAGGATAGGGAGTAGCCACTTCCCAGAAAGGCTTGATTTCCCTAGAGCCAGCAGTATGAACATCCATAGAGCCAGTAACAGCAGGCAGTGGTGAGAAAATCCCTACCTCATCATCAGTCTATATGTTGTGTGTCCAACAGTGAGTTCGTGCAAAAGCCGAGCGGAGACTGTTAGCACCCACCAAGGGCCACGTGAACGCACCCAGCAATTCCTTACCACGCCAAGCTCAGTTAAACAGATCGGGGCTGAAGCTTCAGTTAGGGGCACTTTTTTCGGGAAATCAGATCTTTTCAATTTGAACCAAAACCGTAAATAAAGAAGGGCACTGTTCTAACAGCCTGGCTACTAGAGATCATGTAGAAGTGCAGCATCTGCCAATTCATTCTGCTTTGCTGGCCCATGGAACCAAATGGCACGCTGTTGTTCCATGTTTGGAGACGGTTTATACTGGAATAGCAGCAGTCGTCTTGGGTAAAATGATTACTTTTTTCCTCCATGAAAACTCATGACTTTTTAAAGAGAACTCTGGACACTTTAACTTGCAAAAGCACAGGAGCATGGGGACACGTGTGTCTATGCAGCAGAGATTCTTCACATTACTTTGCAGAGAACAACATGAAAGCAAAGGTTAAAGCATAGCCAGGAGGGACTGAAGCCCCCAGATAGTTACCCAAGCAGTCCTGAGACGGGAGTCAGCGTATGTCCAACAAGCCATTCATGCTCTGCTTTGCTTTCCTAGGCAAAGTGCAAAGGCTGAATCCAGATTTTTAGGTATCATCAGGAGAATCACTCTGGTATTGGAGTATGATCAAGCACAAAACATCCTCAGCCCTCCCAAAAATACCAGATGGCTGCAGATGCCAGCTCCTTTGGCCAGGCAGCTTTTTCTGAGAGCAGGCCAGCCTGTTGTGTAAGTGCTGCACCCCAGATAAAACTCTGCCAAACAGCCAACAGCCACAGGAAAGGAGGAGGAGGAGCGTTCAAGCCAATGCCTTCTCATAGTTTCAAGGCTACGCATACACTGATATCTAAATATATTCTCCTTCTCCAGAGGAAAGTAGGACCTATCAAAGTCACTCTGGCTGTGGAAATATCCCTATGAGTGTCTGAGCAGGTGAGTGCATTTGAAGAAGGGAGAAATAAGATACAGTCAGAGCTGCTAAATCATTAAAAACAATAAAAAAAAGACATGGCTGGGCATGTAAGAGGAGATAATTCTCAGAAGGTGAGCTGGTCTTTGAAATATAAAGTGTGATCTTTCAAACCAATTAATGCTCATTGGGTCAATGGTGTAACAATAAAAACTTCCTACCCTGCTAACTTCTATCCACCCGCAACAGTCCTTCAGGACAATACTGCAGTTGCAGTGACTGTATATTCATATAACACTGCAGTAAACAGGAGGCAGTAAGATCCTGGGCTCCTTTTAATGTGATCATCATGGTTTTACCTCTGCACAAGATAGTACTATCTCTTTCTGCTGCTACATGGAAACGTGCACAAAGAACAAATCTGATCTCCTCTATAAATGGGCCAGTGAAAGGATTTATGCACCATTCAAGACCTCAAAACTGAATGTGATGCACAGACCTTGTGCAACCTTCTCAGCAGAAGGAATTTAACCCTTAGCAAGGTGACTCCACTTCTGAAGCAAGGCCACTTACCGCAAGAAAAACAAAAGCAATCAACAGCCAAACAAACCAACATGCCTTGCAATTATTTTCTTCTTTTCAGCAGCTCTTGGCTTCCACCAGCAAATGAATGGGTAACACAGTGTTAGGCTGTGCTTGCTTGAGGACTGAGGATTCAAAGGGCTGATTCAATTTTAGGCACCCATTGCCACAAAGCAGTAGGAGTGTTTAAGACTTCTTACACTGATCTGCTCCACACCCTAAAGCATGGTCAGCCATATGGGTGCTGTAAAAAAACTCTAAAGGTACAATTAGTTTCCATTAAAAAAAAGTCTTCACTTTTGTCCTGGAGTCCTGAAATGGCTGTGATACAATTAAAACCAACCAAAAAAAGAATGACAATGAGGAGTGGTGAGATGCACTTCTTCTGGGGAGTGTGGGCTGGTAATGCCCTTCTGGAAGGACCTCAGAGAGAGTGGTCACTTTTGATTACTACATAAAGTGAGTAATTCTCAGGAAAGATGAGTCCTTCCTGCCTGAATCATAGCAAAGGGGGAAAAATAACACACTCCAGAAAAGGAAAGCTGGACAGCCCTGAGATGCAGGGAGCCACCCAAGAGGCCACTGCGGAGAAGCTGCATGGAGCGAGCCATGAGCCCCACATGCTGCCCGGAGCAATTGCTCAGGTGCAGGAGGCAAGCTGGGACCACAGTGTGCCTCCTTCTGTGGCCACCCAGGGCTCCACTTGACACAACAGGTGGTGAGTGGCACTAATGACATACTAAAAACCTCTCTCTCAGCAAGAAGTCAGACTCCTCCAGTCTGTCAATCCTGATTCATCCAGATGCATGATACACAAGTGGTTCCTTGGGAGGTCTTGTCTTCATTGACATTTGTCCTGAATTTAGTTCTTGTTCGCCAGCCCATTGCACCAACACAAGCCATGGCAGCAACAGAGTAAATTGCAGCCATCTGCTTGTCAGAAGTCCACAGGCACCAAAGCTGGCTTTGGGTTTCAGTCCTAAGGAAGCTGCACTTCTAAAAAGGTACACGCGGCTGAATGTCGAGAGGAACGACTGGGACAAAGCCCCAGGGGGGATGGGGCCTGGGCTTTGTGTACAACACTGGGGAAAACAGGAACAGCATTTGCCTTTCAGGAAGGAATGAGCCCGTTCTTCCCTGCTCTGCCAGCTATCTATGCGACAGACTGCATCAGTGCTCCTGCGGGTTTCAAAGCTCTGCACAGGGTTCCTAAAATCAGTGAGACAGCTCAAATACTTCATGTTCCACATGTGCTTAAATTCCTTGCTAAACTGATTTTGAAACAATAACATGGAGATCCTAGAGACACCTTGAACCCCTGCTTCTTCATAGAGACATATATGGTTACATTTAAACATAAGAATTTCTCTCTCCATGCTAATTCTCCAGAAAAACAGATTGGTTTCCATTACTATATATAGCACTAGGATTCTTGGCCTATTTTTTGTCCCTTTGCATCTGATTATTTTCAATAGAGTTCAAACTTTTTATGATATGCAGATTTTAAATAGAATACGACTTCTATTCATACAGACTTCCGTTATTAATAAACCCACAACAGCAACATATAATGTAGAACAATTTTATTCATACTGTAATTCTGTCCCATCATCCACTGCAAATATTACAATTATCTTTAAATTGTCAAGAATATCATTTTGTTCCACTTCAAGCATAGGAATCCTGATGTTAAATGGTTACAGTTTTCTTGAGATTGCTCATAACAGAACCATAATTCAAAGGTATTTTCCATGATCTATAAAGGTCTATAGCAAAGAATCTGTTCTCTGTGTGTGCCCAAGTAACTTTCTAAACAGTGAGGCTGACACTTGGTGTTCAACAATAAAATGTTTCTTGCGTATTATGCCAAACACTTGCAAGTTTTTACCAATGCAGCAACAGAAATGCAATAGGTAAAATAGCATACATGAGTGACTTAGAACTTTTAAAACTTTTTTTTTTTTAAATTGCACAAGAGAATATAAAAACAGTGAAGCAAATCATGAGTTTTGCAAATGTGCATACATTTTATATATATATACACACACACATATATACGTGTGTGTGTGTGTGTGTGTGTATGTATATATACTCGGGGTGTCTATATAAATGTTTGTCTTCAAATTGCAAGGCTGAAAAATGTGAAAGTTCATATTTAACAACACATGCAAGAAGCATAACATAATCATAATAAATAGTAGCAACTAATATACATTGGAAAGACCACTGACAACATGCTGAAATAAATTAAGCAGCTCCAAGTGATGAGAGGACTTGGATTCTGAAGCTGAGAAGCAGTTAGCTGTGTAAAGACCTCTCTCGTGGGCAGATACTAGAATACTGGGACCCAAGAGCCCTCTTGGTGGGGGTCAATAGCAAAGTCCCAAGACAGTTTTTGTCAATTCCAAAGAAGAGAGCACATTACATGTCAGTATGAGTTATTTTAGCCATGTTCTTAACCTAACACCTCTAGTTTCAAATGGAAGATTGCTGCCTTATTTCGTTACATAAATTTTGGCATGTAAAAGGTACGGAAAGCTCTTATTCATTCAGATAAAGAATGTTATCATAAAGAATATAGTTTTGCCACAAACGAGAAGTGGGCAGTGCTATTTGGGGTAGCTGAAATGCAGCGCTTTGCTGCTCTGCAAGCAAAGTAGTAGTTTTCCTTCAAAGGAAAAGTTTCCCCAAAGAATAATCAAAATGATCCTATCCTTGAGGGCTGCACAACAGAGTAAGGCCTGGACCTGCAAAAAGCTCCATTCAAGAGGAGCCCGCTGTCTCCATAGGGCAGCAACCAATGTCAATACAAGTGCACACACATGGAGGAGTCTAGGCACTAGGAATTTTTTGCAAGATCCTGGTACTTTTTCTTATGCAATGCATGTCTTTTGGAAGAGGGACATCATTTTGATGCATATATTTGCCTTTCAGAAAATCCTGGGCATATACAAAAACAAAGGCATATAAATTTAATTAAATGGACCTTATGCAAAAAGGGTCCTATCAAACTGCTGTTGATGCCTCTGATGTGCAGCCGGCACCATCTCTTCAGCATTTCATACAATATTCAGAGAAGTGGCTGAAGACACCCTGGTACAGAAGAATGTGCTTCAGACCCCATTTAATTCAGCAGAGAGTTCCCGTTGACTTTTAAGGGATCTAATGCAAACTCTCATTTTAAAAAGCTGAGGATAAAGAACTTAAGGTCCTCAAGGCTCCATTAAAATTCTTACAAAACATAATCCCTTGAAATCTTCTCCTAGAAGACTGAACTGGAGCAGACTGTTTGGCTTAGTATATCCTCAATGTCACAAACCCAACTTGGACAGGCTTGCAACAGGGAGGAACATGGCCCCCTGTATCTAAGCCACAAACAAAATGACCAAAAGCCTTACTTCTCCTTGACATATTGGAATGATCAAAACCTTCCTCTAACCTTCCCTTTTAAACCATGCAACTGTCAGTAACCGTGTGGGATTTCAGAAACTTCCAGTACATAACCAGTGAAAAGTCTTTTAAAAGTGACAGGCAGAGGGACATAACTTTATCCAAGGAGCTTGACAAAAGGTGAATAAGACCAACTTTAAAGAAAGTGTAAAATAATGAGGAAATAGAAATTCGTATGTATTTTAAATAGTTAAAAACACAGTTTAAGCTATTTGATCCAGCAATAGGTAAAAATCTTGCCTGCAAGCCAAAAGCCTAATCTTCCATGAACAGTTCCCCAAAGCTAGTCTTATCCAAACAGTTGTCTTCCTGCTTAAATGATACATAAGATTTGAACTGACATCCAGTGCATGACATAAACAGAAAAACACACATAAAATGCACACTTTTTTTTCCTTCATAAAGCTATGGAGCTGCACAGCGCAAATTTAAGTGCACAAGGTCACACAAAGGCAGCTATCCAAAAGGAATCATTTAGACAGTGAGCGAAATGAAACTGTTGTATCTCTGAATGTTTCTCTTGAGGATTTCAGAACAAGGACCGAGCACTCGTTCAAAGCGGGGACGATCTAGCTTTACACACTTCAGGGGTCCACGTGCCACCACTGTAGCAGCCCGGGGCCGATTGAGCAATAATGCTATCTCACCTGGAAACAGGGATAAATATGCTGTCACACATTCTGTGCTTCGTTTTTGGAAGGGTGTATATTCTAGTCACCATACAGTTGCTTTGACTGTAAAATATATTCTTTTATATTTATCTTGATAGACACTTTACATAATTCTGTTGACAGAACAAATGCATTACACATGCATAATGCATGCGTGTAAAATGCCTTTGAAAACAAACGTATTCAGAATGTTTTGCTGATTCCGGATCTGTCTCCTGTCAGTTACACTGGTGTAAACCAAGGAATAGTTTCAGCTTCAGTGAAATCTCTCCATACTGCTGAAAGCAGAAGCTGACCTATGCATAACCTCCTTGTTCATTAAAGAGCAGAAAACCAATTGAGAGAGTAACTACTTTTATCAATTCCATTTGCCTGTCTTTCTGAACCATGCTTTTATCACCTTGAATTTTCTTACCAAAATAATCTGATGGACCAAGTCTTCCAACTTCTACGTACTCCTCATTATCAGATCTGCGCTGAAGAACTGAAGCTGTTCCCTGGGAACAAAAGCGTAGAAAGTTAGCTTGCTTTGCTTAAACAAGTTATGCCATTAAAAAGTATCGAATCCAGAGTACTCCCTCTTGCAGGACATCTGTCACAATCCGTCAGTTCTGCTAAAAGAGAAGCAACAATCTCAGTCATTTTCTCACATATGAATGAAAGGAAATAAGGAATTAAAAAAACACATCAGTACAGCAATATTGATTTCACTTTTACGAATGCAGCACTGTTTGGATGCAGACAGATTCTGCTCCCACAAAAGTCAAAAGGAACAGGATAGAACTCCACATCCACTATTTAAATAATGCACATCATGTGTGTAAATGCATTAATTAATATGGTTTAAAAGTATATTATGAGTGGATGTAGAACCTTACAAGAGATACAGAAAAGATTTGCATCATGAGGAACCAAAAGGTAATTTTCCCAGTCATTGTCTTGGGATATAATTTTGTGAGATAGTGACTAGAGTTTATTCCTAACCGGATCATTCACTGGATCTCTGGCTGAGATTGTTGATAAAGGGAGCTTTTAATGCTTGCCGCAACAGAGGGTTGTTTTTTTTAGTGGCTTTGCCTGCTCGTGGCCTTTAGTGATCTGGACACCTGTGAGTCAGTCGCTTGAGAGATGGAATGTGTCTTGTCTACATTACCGTTAATAACTGCAGTACTTGGCACATGCTAATACTTGTCAAAACTCAGTAACACTCTATTTAAACCTTCAAAGAGGTTTTACATACAGAAATATTCTAACCTGGAGGAACCCTTAAATTATTTGTGGCATAAACTTTTTGTAGATACGGAAGGTATCTGCTTTTCTGCAAAAAAACCCAAAGACAATAACATATGAAATTATCTTCAGAGTCCAAACCAAAAGCACAGGCAGAGGCAAAATGTTAATGTATTTTGATTTTTAACTGAAATTAATAAGACTTTTTAAAAGCTAACAAATAGAGTAGAGAGCCATTTTTTGTAAAAAGCCTGATGCTAATGCTGCAAGAAGAGTGCAGGAATAAAGGAAGTATTTAAGTGTAATCGGAGAGCATCAATAATGTTTGTTTAAGATTTTTGGTTTGGAAAGTAATGCCTGTGGGGCTGAACCTGCCCCAACCACAACCGGGAAGGGCAGAAGACTCAGTGACGTCTCCTGTACTTGGAAGACTGATGCCAGCCACTGGAAAATACCACAGGGCATCCCAGCACACAGCATCTTCCACTGCTTGGCTCCTCTGCCCTCAGCACCTACAGCCACATCAGCATCACTCTAAGCTGGAGCAAAACCCTCCCTCCAGGGCAGAGTACTGAGCGCAGATCAGCCAGCTGCAAGCACTCTGCAGCCTCCTTGGGCAGAGAGAAGTTTGTGTGCCCCAGGTGATGGCTGGAGGGCTTGAGGAGATGCTGAGTACCTTCAAACACCTTGGCTTCAATGCAGTAAAAAGGCGCTCAGCACCCTGCAGAACCCTCCCTTTCCCCTTTGCATTGTGTTTAAATACACCCTGTAGATTCCTAAACATTGTCATTGAGTTTCAAATCTGAACGGCAACGCCAGGCTACTTTGGGTCGGATTCTTCCTTTTCAAGGATGGGGGGGCAGGCAGGGGGCAGAAATGACCAACAGCAGTAGAATATCCAGTGTAACATAGTAAATTATCCTAGTTTGCTTTCTTCTGAACAAGCACTACCAAGACGCTGTGATACTGTTTCATTCATATCACATCCTATTTCATAACAGGGCTATTTTTAAGCCCATACACTTCATGAATTGCTGGAAACTAGGTTAAGCTATAACTGCTACCTTTACATGTTATACAAATGAAGAGGTAAATCTTATTTCTGATCATGCCAACAACCAGACCCGAAACTCAAATAATGTGCAAGTTTTGTTTGATACATGCTAAGCATCTGATGATTTTTATATGCAGTTGGATGTTTATCAAATTAATTTGACACACTGAAAGTTATATCTTCTCCGTTTGCCCATTACGAGTAACCTGTGCTTAGTATAAACTACTAGATATCAAACTGCCAACACGTTACAATGGTCACGAAAATTTACTGTTCCACCCCATTAGCTATATGCCATATCATTACTACAAAAATCCTGAATAAACATCAGGGCTGCAAATCCTGGTCCATTTGAAAACAATGACAAAACTCTTCTTGGCTTCAAAGCTTTCACTATCAAAATGCCAGAAAGCTGATGGCCTAAGATTCAGAAATGTGTGTTAGGCACAACTTGCATAAGCAAGGGCACCTGAGCTGAGAGAGCACAGTACAAGATCAGTTTCCAGTTGTTCAAAGATAAACCAAACATGACGGGGAAAGTTGGTTTTGGTCTTTTTTTTTCTTTACTATTAAAACATGATCATGCACATAAAATTGTCTGCAGCAAGTGTAAGGCTATCCACAGAAGTAACTCAAAAGAGGACTGAATGTAAGAAAGTGATTCGGTGCCTGTTAAGTTTCCAGCAAAAATTCCTTATCCTTGATATAAGTAAATTTTTTAGCCAAAGCTGCTGTTTTCCAAGATCTTCCAGTAAATCTGCAAGGGGCCAAAAATGCAAAGGTAGAGTAATGAGTTTTGTTATTCACACTTACTGCAACAGTTTTCAGAATAAACATTCATACATAAGCAGCATTCTTGGAATATCTCACGTAGGGAATAATGACCGTATCAATCTCTGTCTTGCCAAACTTCAGATCAGGTGCAGCTCACAGGCCTAAACTGATGCTGTTCTTATTGCTTGTGCAGTGTAGACAGAATCAGCTTCAAAATCACTTCCAGCCCCTGTTGTCCCCTCAGTCCCCATCTGGAGCCTGGCAAAAACCTAACCCCTTGACTCAAATAGCTGTCTGTTCATCTGTGTCTCCATTCTCTTTCCCAAAACTGTTTTTTAAACTTTTATTACAGATGTTTTATTATATAAAACAAAAAAATCCCCAAAGCAATCACATTGACCACCCAGGTCAAACACATAAAGGAGGCAATTCCCCACTGCCCATCCTGAGCATGATGCCGCAGAGATAATCACAATATAAAGCAATATTGCTTTCATCTCCTCTAGTGTCAGCTTTTATTGTGGCTAATATTTTTTGACAGGGTCCATATGATACAGGACTTCAATAAGTCAAGTTTTCTGAAGCAATTTCTTCCACTGTTCCACTACGGTCGGCCTTTTTAATCCAAGAAACACCATGATATCTGTTGGAGAAGGACAGATGTGTCTGGCCTCCACAATAAACACTTAGCTTGGCAGGATAAAGCAATGCATATTCCAGATACATATTTTTCCACTCTTGTTTTAACAGTCACATAGGCTTTTCCCGTTGCCCAGTGAGAACAGGTCTATCACGGAGCAAAAGAAGTTTCCTGAAACCCTGACATCAAGCACCCAGATGTAAGAACTGATTACGCAGTTTGGCCTCGCATTGCAAAAGTCGCCAACTCCAGAAGTACATCCTGGAGTATTGTCAGAGTGACCTTCACGGGAAGACTGTCCACACCATTAAACAAAGAAGACGTATTTATAATTATCTGTCTGTATCACCTTCACTTCATGAATCTTACCTCTGGAAGCCAACACTGTTCTAACTGCATTAGAGGAGAAGTCCGATTGTACGTGAACAGTGTAACCGAGGCAAAAATAGAATAATAAAGACACCACCACTTATTATCCATATACTTAATGAAGAATTATCCATATATTTAATGAAGTCAAACTAAACGAATCGGGTGCTAACCCCTACCCTTGCTCCCACTGCCAGTTTCATGGCTATATTCCATTTCAGTTTACTTGTCATATCTTTCTAATAGTTTTTGAGCTTTCTATTCTTTCCGTGCTTTAGCAAACCTGACCACATATAAATGATATGACTGAATAAATATGAGCCCTGTCCTGGGAGGTATGGCTATTATCTAGTAGGGATTCAGATGGCTCTCTCTCACCTCCTAAAAGCATTTGTTCTCAGTGGGAAAGATCTCCTCTTCAGTGGCATACAGAACTTGGCAGGATCAGTCTCAGTGGAATAAGCTGTATAAGCCTAGATTTGCAGGATCAGGCTACTTAGTGCTGCTCTATTTTAAAAAGCGTCTTGTACATTGATGGTTATTTCAGCCTCCTACACCTCGGAGCAAAACCTTCAGAGCACAGGCTCAAGCACTGTGAAGAAGTTTGACACCATTTAATAAATCAGCACTTTGTGAGGATATGAAACTGCAAGCAGATAGGCATGTCCTTCTCCTAGCAGACATTTGGGAGTGAAATGATGATCCTGTAGATCCAGGAATATTCCCTTTCAGTCACTGAGGAGTGTGTGTATTCCCAGGAACTGATATCATTAACCTTCTCTCCTCTCCTCCAAGTAAATACAGGCATCTTATTGCAAAAACAACAAGAGTAGCAGCTCCAAAAGCAACGTGCCATCACCACCTACCTCCCATCCTCACCCCATGCACCTGTCCACTCCCTCTGCAAAATGTCACGGGCGCAGAGGATTTATTCATTTCTTTCAAATGCATCAGCAGTTTGTATTGTAAAAATTTATAGCCTGGATATGGTACCATAATTTAAGATGTAACAAATAAATTAAGTTTTATAATCCACGAGCTCCCATCCTCTCCCACGTAATGAGATTTTGACAGATGTTTCACTTTTAAACTATCAGACCGTATGGAGGAGTTAGACATCCTAGTGTTAAACACAGTAGCCCATCTGGATCAACATTACCATTTCTAGGCCTGATCCTGCATGTCCTTATGAGCATGAATTGCTCCAGGAGACCTATTTTTATATGTATGCGTGAATCCTGGGGCCAGGAGTTGGCCTAAGTAGCCTAGCTAAAAAAGACAGGTGTTCAACAAGGTGGTAACAAGGCTGTAATTCTTCCTCTATTTCAGTAGCGGAAGCTCTGTGGATCAGATGGGATTACGTATTCCAGGGCGGTACAACAAGGCAAAATGTGCCAGCCAGTCATGGATCCTTGTCACCACTCTGGTAG